TTTTATTAGGGCACTAATCCCTTCCAAAGGCACCATCTTCAAATACCATCACAAGTGGATATTAGGTTTCAATATAGGAAATTTGGGGGGTGACACAAACATTCAGTCTAGAATATAAACCATGCTTCTAAGCATGATAACATCATGTATTTAGATTCATGCAGAATGTTGAAACATATTTCACACTTGAAAATAGTTTTAGTATCTCAGATTTTCCCCCCAAATCAACATCTGTGTGTTTGAATATGTAAGTTGTACGCATGTGTAACTATAAATGTCCATATACTTGGGTAATTTATATTCACTTTTTGTACATTTTTGATGTACATTTTTAAAAAGATTTATTTATTTGTCAGAGAGAGCACAAGCAGGGGGAGCGGCAGGCAGAGGGAGAAGCAGGCTCCCACCTGAGCAAGGAGCCCCATGCAGGACTCAGTCCCAGGACCCTGGGATCATGACCTGAGCAGACGCTTAACCCACTGAGCCACCCAGGTGTCCCTTGATGTACTTTTCTAATATCAGTGCTGAATCATTTAAGTTTAATTCACTTGAGTCAATTTACTAAATATTTCTTTCTTTAAAAAAGAGCTCTCCAGAGGCACTGTGTAGTGTGCCTCACCAAACAAAGGAAGACACGGGGTTAATACAGGTTTTGGGGAAGAATGAAGGTTAGGTAAAACTTATATTAAGCAGAGCTTTGATGGACTCAAGGCAAAGCAGATCCTATGTAATGGAGTCAACATCATGCCTGGGCTGAGAAGCAGACACAGGGTCCTGTTTCTTCAGAAATTATAGGGTTAAGATAAATGTGCAATCTCCAGAAATCCCTCCTTTGAAACTCGGCACCTCTGTTGGAAATCATGCCTGCTTCTCTATGTTAAAGTGACATTGGCATTCCAGGCAAGAGTGAGATGTCCCCTTCTCACTATTACTATGATTTCAAAGAGCAAACTTTCTGACAGTCTATGATTTTAGATAACATGGTTTCTCAGTACTATGTCCTTGGTGTTAAATTTATAGGTTCATAATCTTAACTCTGTAAGGTGGTTACAAACCACCTTCAGGCAACTGAATTTTAGAAAGTCAAGTTGCTTGACCAAGCTTGAGTAAGGGTAAAGCCTGAGCTGGGATTTGAATCCACAAATGATGACTCTCCAACTGCTTTCAATATTCTATAGACAAAATTTAAAAATGATTAGAAGTTGTGGTACATCTAGATAATAGAATACTAGTGCTAAAAAGAAAGGAACTATCAGGACATGAAAAGACAAAGAGCAAACTTAGATGCATATTACTAAGTGAAAGAAAGCAATCTGAAAAGGCATACTGTAGGATTCCAACTATATGAACTATATGACATTCTGGGAAAAAAGCAAAATTATGGAAACAATAAAAAGGTCATTAGTTGCCAGGGGTTGGTGGGGATAAGGATGAATAATAGGTGGAGCACAGAGAAATCATAGGACAGTGAAACTATTCTGTGTGATATGGGCGCCTGGGTGACTCAGTCAGTTAAGCATCTGCTTTCGGCTCAAGTCATGATCTCAGGGTCCTGGGATCGAGTCCTGCACTGGACTCCCGGCTCAGAGGGGAGTCTGCTTCTCTCTCTGCCTGCCACTCCCCCTGCTTGTGCTCTCTCTCTCTGTCAAATAAATAAAATCTTTTTTTAAATTAAAATATTTTCTTTATTTATTTGACAGAGAGAGACACAGCAAGAGCAGGAACACAAGCAGGGGGATTGGGAGAGGGAGAAGCAGGCTTCCCACCGAGCAGGAAGCCCGATGTGGGGCTCGATCCCAGGACCCTGGGATCATGACCCGAGCCGAAGGCAGACGCTTAACGACTGAGCCACCCAGGCACAACCTCAAATAAATAAAATCTTAAAAAAAACCTCAAAACTAGTCTGATACTATAATGGTGGATACATGTCATTATATGTTTATCCAAACCCATAAAATATACAATTTTGTACATTTGTACATAAAATGTACAAATAAGGGTGAACCCTAATATAAACTATGGACTTTGGGTGGTAATGACACAGGAATGTAGACTGATAATCTTTAACAAATGTACAACTCTGGTGGGGGACGCTGATAGTGGGGGAGGCTGTGCTTATGTGGGGGCAGGGAGACCATGGAAATACTTATATTCTGCTCAATTTTGCTGTGAAGAACTTCTCTAAAATATAAACTCTGTTTTAAAAAATGGTTTGAGGATTGTTCATACTGTGATGAGGGGAGAAGAAGCATTAGAGTGTGTTAACTTTGTAGGAAAAAAATAAATGCAAAGGAATCAGACAGAACATGTTATTTCTTGAGTTCCCAGAGAGGAAGTGAACACAGGCCCTGTGCTCTGAGACTACTTATTCTTGGAGGGGGAGACACAGATGCACAGAGCCAGGAGCTGCTCAGGGTGATCAGGCCTGTGAATGTAGAAATGTAGGGAACTCTGCCTGAGGAGCTTCTGGGAGACATCAAGTCAGATTCCCCCAGAGAGGGAATCTTGCGTTTGGGAAGAGCTCAGGATCTCCCGAGGGCCTATGCAGGGTATGGGTTATAGGACTGTGTCTATGAGAACAGCAGAGCCAGGTACACAATGGGATGAGGGGTGCAGAATGAGGCCTACATGGATCATGTAATGAGGGTCTGAGTAGAAACTGGATGGGGCTGGGGATGGGTGGTATGATGCTGGTTCTACACTGGACAAGGAGTGTGGTTAGGAGTGGACCAGGTTGACTGGAGTGAAGGGAGCATAGATTCCCAAAGGGGAGAATGTGAAATGAGCTTCTGAGGTTATAAGTGGGTGACTGGTGGGTTGGGGAAATCCTGTTTGGAGAGAGGGATTGTACTTCAAATCTGGAACCTCATGGGTTATTTCTGCAGAAGGTCAGGATAGTACACAAAAGAACCTGAGAAGGGGTATGATTTCCTCATTACCTATTGGACCTGGGCAGCACCTTTCCTTGCCCTGCCATGGGAAATGGGAAATGGGAAATGGGAAATGGGAAAGGGAGTGGCACATGAAACAGTGCTGACAGTCCACTGACTGTCATCTCCAAGGGCTGGTCAGAGGCCAGGAGCCCACTGGCTCCCTACAACCACAGATGAAGGCTGCGGCACCCAAAGAGGCAGTGACATAGGGGCCTGAGCAATTCTTACGTCTGCCCTTTTGCCCAGGGCTCACCTCAGCAGAGCCTCCACCCTCTCCCCCAGGCACCAGTGGGAAAGCCCTAAGGAAATGATAGACAAAGTAGGCCTAGCCAGTGGAAAAGCCCTGCAGGTCTGGCTGGAAGGGGAGGTGGGCTGCGGAGAAATGAGAAGGGTCTGGAACCTGCCCCTAGCTCCTTGGCTCAGTCCTCATCTCTTTCCCCACCTTCTCATGTCATCCTTTAACCCCAAATTATACTTTCTCTTTTACTCTTCCCAGCTCTGCGACCTTGGTGTCCTGGGACCTTTGCTCAGCCCTGAGTAGCAGGGTCTCAGCCATGTTTCATGTTGCAAACCTCCTCCGTGACCATGTGGACTTGGTTGTCTGTCTGTCACTTGGGAGAGCATGGCACGGCAAATCTATTAAGGGGCAATCACGTACCTAAGTTATAACAAGGGGAGGGAAGGAAAGTGTGAAGAGGACTTTCCTCCTTTAATTATTTTGTGCTGATTCCTGAGAATTGTTACAGATTTTTTACTCTGTAATGTTAGGAAGTAGAAGAAGCCTACCTTCTCAAGGCCCCAGACACCAGGGAACAAGCTGTGACTGAATGCCATCACCAGCAATCATCCTGAATAAAAAGAGGGGTGTGAGGAGGCGCCTGGGTGGCGCAGTGGGTTAAACGTCTGCCTTTGGCTCTGGTCATGATCCCGGGGTCGTGGGATCAAGCCTGCTTCTCCCTCTCCCTCTCCCTCTGCCTCTGCCCTTCGTATGTGTGGAACGGTTCAAGGAGGACTTGACAGCAGGGGACTATGAAACAAATGCAGGTAAGATCTGATTATCACTTAAGGATACCTGGAGTAGAAAAATAAGACTTTGTGAAAAACCCTTGGGCTCATGCCTGTCTCCTGGAGCCCAAAATCTTTCACTCTGTTTTGTAAAAATTACCTAGTAATTGATTCGGGACTTGACAAGAAGAGGGAAACTTCCCCCTATATTTGCCTAGAAATTTTCCCTAAAATAGTTGGGCAAGTCACTTTATCTCTTTAAACTTGTTATTTATTTGTAAAACAGGAGTAAGCATGCATGGTTTACAGAGTTGCCGTGAGGATATATATGAATCACATACAGCGGAGTACTCAATAAATGATAATAATGGTCTCTTACCTTCTGGAGGTCCTTCAAAACTTAGACACATGAATCTCCCTAGTTCAGGAAAAACCCTTGATATACCCTTGATAAAAACCTCTGATAACTCGATTCTTCCTATTCTCATTGGCCTCAGTTTCCCCATTTGAAAAATGTTATATTAGGTTAGCATTAAATTGGCATTCCATTGGCCAACGCTGGCCTGAAGATAATGCTTTGTTTGGTTCACATAGGATTTAAAGAAGAAAACTGAGCCATTATTTGAAAATTAAGATGTTCTACGTAGAAATTCAGTTTTCTAGCTTCTCTTAAAGAATCAGAAGTTGTGGCAATAGCTACTTTCCTGCCTGGTGACAGCCCACTAATGCACAGGAGGCTGTCCCCTTAGGCAGGGCATGCATTCTCAGTTTTCTAGGGCTCATCCAGCTTTCTTTACTCATTTATATGACGTGCTTGGCCCTGTATGTGTTTTGACCTGTAGCCCTCTGACAGCTGGAAATGGTCTAGGCCTGGCACGCAGGCACTTCACTATTGAATCAGTGGATCTCCCACTATCTTCCTCTACCAACCTTTCTTAACTGGCTCTAAGAAATCCAAGTTTGTATTTATTTGTGGTAGTTAGCAGAAAGTGAATTGAACAAGTCCTTTGTGTCAGGATAGACTAGGTTAGGCTGCAGCAACAAACAATCCCCAAATCTCAGTGGCTTAAAACAACAAAGGTTTATTTCCCAGTTACTCACCCAAAGGTAGACACAAAATGAAAATACTCTCCTATTTTTGCATGCATGGAGACAGACATGAGCGCACAGCTATGTACAGGATCATATGTCAAATAAATATTCTGGAACGTGAACTCATGCAAAAACCTATTTAGATACTGGTTAGCTTAAACTACACAATTCTCACTTTGCTGGGGATTGTAAAAAGGTGCCAGGACCCAAGTGAGTAAGAGCATACCACTTTCATTCAAGGAAATGCCCACACTACAAAAGGAACCAAAAGCTAACGAAGCACGTGAAAGCTTAAAAAAAAGAAAAGCCGGAAGCTTGTACTACATTAAATTCCATGCATAAATCCAGAAGTAAAATACCAAATATGCAGTGCCCGCAGGCTGTTGCTTCTTGCCCCAGCAAGGCCTCCACCTCTGGGCTTCTAGCTTAGGAGGGAGATAGAGCCCAGACGCCCAATATGCAGAGCCACAGAGGGGGCTGGGCTGGGTCGGAGAGAGGGGCCAACAGGCTGGAATCCTCTTCCTCCAGCGGGAGCTATAAGCAGGAAGGAAAGGGGTAGGACTAGGTCATATCCATTTCCTCTCCCAGCAACCCCCTCTTTTTACCCCATCCAATCCAGGCCTCAGCCTTATTCACCCGGATTATAGCAAACACTTCCCCCACATTGATTTTCCCACCTTCAGTCTTGTCTCTTTCAATCCCTCCATCACAGCCATCACACCTGACTTCTAAATCTTAGGGTCTCTGAATATGTCCCTGCCTAGGTCAGAAATATTCCCTGGCTCCCTTTCATGCACAGTTGCTGGTCTGGACTCCTAAGCCTGGCGTGCCAGACCTCCATGATCGGAAGTCTCTCCAGCCTCATCTCCTTCTGTTCCAGCAGTTCTTCCAGGCAGGTTTCCTCACCCACACACCATGCCCAAACCGCCATCTTGGACAGGAGACTCCTTGGCCTTCCCTCTCTGTCCCCATAGGTCTCATTTCTCAAGATTCCTCTAGTTCTTTCCTGGTTTGTCACTGAGCTTTGTGAAGACGTTCTGTTTTCCCAAGTAGAATGGAAGCTCCTTGAAGGCAGTTATCAGATCTGCAGCAGGCAGCTTGGGTCTAGAGAGGGAGCCTTAGGCTGGAGTCAGGAGATCAGGCTCTGGCAGTCTTGCCATATGCTGTTGGGCAAGTCCCTGCCTCTCTCAGGGCCTCCTTTTCCTTGACATAAGGGCACCGGACATTTGCTTTTGAGCACAAAATTAATAAAACTAATTCACCAAACAACTCTCAATTGCCATTCCAGGAACTAGGTCGAGAAGCCTGGGGCCTGGGATGATCAACCTGCTGATCCCCTGGTCTCCTTAGTCAGTCCCTACTTACTCTGGTATCTCCATTTCCCAACTATCCCTATCCCATCTTCTTTCAGGGAACAGGTTACCTGGTGGGCCACAGGGGTGGAGCAGGGAGATCCAGGCAGGGTTGGGGGGAACAGAAGAGGTCAGGCGGGGAGCCTGGGAAGAATCTTTCAGATCCACAAGAGCCTCAGCTGCCTCCCGCTGCAGCTGCCGCTCTGAGGGGGCAGAGGTCCAGGCCAGGCGAGAAGCTCCGGGGGCCTGCAAAAGAAAAGGAAAGAAACAGACTGGGAACCCCCACTCTGCCCACCCTCCAAGTACTCTCTCAGCCCCTGGTTACTTCACTACCCCCTATCTTCCCTTCCCCAGGCTCAATTTCCTCCCAGGGTCCTGGATCCACTTCTTTCCCAGGACCTGTGGCTGCAGCAGAAGAGGGTCTGGGGTGCCACAGGGCTGGAGTATCAGAGTCGAGCATCTAGAAGCAAGAAGAGAAGAAGATGCCAAGGGGCTTAAACACATGGAGAGATATGCACACATGGGAGTCTGGATGCCTGCTGGGCCATTAGGCTTTGCGGACTTGGGCAAGTCCCTTCCCCTGTCTTGGCCTGCTTTGTTTGCTATAAAATGAAAAGCCCTGCCAGCTTCTTTCCCCCAGAGCTCCCGTGACAATTATGGGGAGTCACTGGTGTCAATTTTTAAAAAACATATCAAACAGGGCACCTGGGTGGCTCAGTCGGTTGAGCGACTGCCTTCGGCTCAGGTCATGATCCTGGAGTCCCGGGATCGAGTCCCGTGTCGGGCTCCCTGCTCAGCAGAGAGTCTGCTTCTCCCTCTGACCCTCCCTCCTCTCATGCTCTCTCTATCTCATTCTCTCTCAAATAAATAAATAAAATCTTTAAAAAATAAAAAAATAAAAAACATATCAAACAGCAAGAGGGACTGGGATGGCTGTTCCTGCCCTACTAAAGTCTAGTTTCCCTCCCCTAGTTCCCCAATCCCCATGGAACTTGAGGAGCAGCTTTCTCAAAAGGCCTCTGGCCTCTATCGTAGGCCTCTGAGGCTCTCATCATCACACCCCACCCCACCCTTTCAGCAGGCAATTTGATTCCATTTTATCTGCTTAAGAGGATTTAATAGCCACTATTTGTCCAAGACCAGGGCCTCTGCTAGGATGTATTCCATACATTATCACTAATTCTCATGACAAAGCAAAAAGAAGGTAATTGTATCTCCAACTTACTGAACGAAAACCAGGTTCAGAGAGGTAAAGATACTTGTACAAAGGTTCCCAGTCAGGCAATGGCAGAGCTAGGAGAGCTTCTCTTCCCGCCTTAGTCTGAGACCTTGTGTTCTATATCACCTACTGTGGCGTCCAGGACGGGATTAGGCACATTATAGACCCATATCCTTCCCTCCCTACTCACGTGCGGGGCAGGGCAGAGGGCCCTTGGGATTCTCCAGAAAGAGGAGCCATCAGTATCGGACGAGATCCTGGGCAGGTTGGGAGGGGCCCGTGAGTGGGCAGCCGGAGGGAAGTGCCAGGGTCAAAGCCTAGTGAGGGTAAGAGAATGCAGGAGTGTACAGGGGTTAAAGGTCATGGCTTCCATCTTCCTTCTTACCCTGTATTCTCTTCCTCTTCTCTTTCTGATACAGCGGTTCGATGGCATTCAAATATCTGTTTAATGAAAGTGTTGAATTCATCTTACCAGGAGAGGGATGCAGAGGGACTGTAGATTCTTGACATAGCAAGTGGCATACCACAGGAGGTGGCACGGAAAAGCCTGGAGGCAGCCAGTGTCCAGGAGCCCAAGTGCCTGGAGGCACTGGAGTCCAGGACAAAGGCAAGGCTTCTGGGGGACGGCTGAGCAGCAGAGGCCCCCGGGAGTTATCCTGCAAGGGCAGAGAGCACAAGTTGGAGTCAGGAACGAGGCTGGGGAAAGAACGAGTACGTTCTAGGATGGGGGCAGGACCTCAAAACTTTAGACTTGGGAGGACTGTAAAGTCCCACCCTCTCATTTTTTACCCACAGAAGTGATTTGCCCAGGATGATACTGCATATCAGGAGTCAATCTAGAACCCAAGTGTTGAGGGCACAGAGGAAGGGGTCTGGGCAGGGGCTAGTACAGGATTCACTCCCCCAGGGCCCAGGTTCTCCTTACCTTCCCAGGGGGTGTCAGTGCCAGTGGGACTGCCCCATGGGGTGTCTGAGGCTGGGGTGCTATGTTCTCCTTTCCAGCTGTGAGGGACCAGGGAGAGCTCTGATGAGCCCTTTCTCCTGACCCCCATTCCACTCCAACTGCAAACTGAATTTTTATCTCCCTGTGGCCTTTTTCTACCCATGGATCTCACTACAACCTCCCAACACCTGACTGCATTTTAAAGTTGGAGAGACTGAGGCTGCCCAGAGAGTAGAAACACTTTGCCCCAGGTCACACACCAATTCCAATGGTGGGTCTGGGACTCTTTCCTACTTATGCTTTCTCCACCCCAAACCCTGCCCCATCCCTGGCCAGATACTCACGGGGGACCCCTGGTTGAGTGGCTCCCTTCTTGGCATGGCTAGGAGCTTTGGGAGGAGCCGCCCCTCTCCTCATCAGTCCCTGAGCCAGATGCCTCTTTAGCTGTGCCTCCTGTTGCCTACGCAAGGCCACCTGGGCAGCCATGACCCTCCGGCGCTCCCTAAAATAGGGGTTGCGGGTCAAAAGTCAGCCTCGCTTTCAATGAGGCCCATCCTCCTCCCTTCCCTGCATCTCATTCATACTCACAAGATGAGGACACATTTGTGACACTCGCAAGCCTGAAAGAGGCACAGGCGCTTGTGGCCCTTGAGGTGGGCAGTGACGCCGTGGTTTCGGCAGCGGGCACAGGTTGGAGAGCGACTGACAGCTCTCCTGGGGATAAGCTCAGTGCCTGGAGGGGCTCTGATCTCACCCCCTGTGGCAGGATCGGAGGCACAGTGGTGGACAGTGGGCATTTCGTTGGCTTCCATGGATCTGGAGGCAGGAGTGGAAGGTCAGGGTGGCCACAAGGGCCCTCGCCTGACCAGCCCTCCTGTCCCTGGGAAGCCACACCTGAACGGGTTTCCACGGCACCCCATCTGTGGACTCAGCTTTCACCCCCCTCCCCAGCTTTCTCCCTCCTTCACCCCAAGGCCTTTCTTGGGCATCCTCCTTCCCAGAAGGCTCGCCTTCTTCCCCGGCGCCCCTCTCCTCCTTCCCTTCGTATGTGTTCTTTCAACCAAACACTGTTCTCAGCTGCTGGCCTGTGCTTTCTCGTGCACAAGTCCCATGCTCCTACCCGTGCATTCACTGGCCCCTCAAGGGATTCTACACCCCTTTTCCTGCAACACCCTGTTCTGATAGTTTTTCCTGCCATTGCCTTCAGCAACTACCATCCTTCCCTCCTGCATTTATCCAATTCCTACAACTACGTTTATGCTCCCCGTCCAATTCACAGCGTCATGTACCTCCTGCAAGTCAACGTACCCTTTGCTCCCCTTTGAAATCAGAACACTCTCTTGCCGCCTCTCCCCGCCCCCGCGATTACTTTATTCTCACGGATTCCTTGCCCCACTTTCAAGAATTATTTTCATTCACTCAACAAACGTTTCCTGAGCCCCTTCCAGATGCCCGGCCCCGATCTCGGCCGCAGGCCCCCCTCCTCACGGCACGGATTCCCCTCCTGCACCCATATGCCCTCCAAACTCTGACGCAAATTTTGGGGTCGCTGCGCCGGGCGCTTCGGGGGGGCCTTTGCCCATTCCCAGCAACCGATCTCATGCATCGCCCAGCCCACCTCCCCGCAGCGCACCACAGCTCGCGCGGCTGTTACTCGCGTGCACCCTCTTTTGGTAGCCGGGCCTGAGGCCTTGCCTCGCTCCAGGGTCCCAGGGAGGGGGTGGGGCACGGGGAGCGCGCCCAGGGGCCCGCGGCGTGGGGGAAGGGAGGAGAGGGGCGCGAGGAGCGCGAGGGGGAGGCGGGGGAGGGGGTCCAGCGCCACAGAGAGGGGGAGAAGGGACAGGGAGGGGCGGGGTCGTGTTCGCGTCCTCGGCCCGCGGTTACCACAGCCTCGAGCGAGCAAAGTCAGACTCAGTCAGGAGGACGCGAAAGGGCGCGGTGAGGAAGTGGCGTGAGGAACGGCCGCGCTCGCGCCGGTTTTCCCGCCCCTTCTCCCAAGAGCCAATGAGCTTCAAGCGTCGACTCCCGCCGCCGAAGCAAGCGACCAATGCGCTTCAAGATCCTGCACTGACGGCCCTCCCCTTACCTCCAGCCCGCTTTGCCTCGCGCCAGACTGTCAGGCCAGCCAATAGTGCGTCGAGTTGAGTCTCGCCCCCCACTTGCCCCTCCCCCTGTGGCTTGCCTGCCCAGATTGTAATTCCCCTTTTGGGAGAGGTGGCCAATGGGGCGTCGAGTACTCCTCCCAGGATGAGACTGGCCCTGCCCCCCAGAAACGGCTGCCGGGTCGGACCCCCAGGCGTTGACCTGGACCTGTGTGCGCACGCGCAGTCTCGCTCTCTAGCCAGCACTGCGCGGGTTTGCCTCTGGCATTCCTGGCTTCGACCTCGCTCGGGCGGTTTTTCGCTGCGTGGACGCTCGTGTTTCTTTCACTTCTCTCCCTGTGCCCGAACTCCGGATCTACCCTTCTCCTTTTATGCGTTTCCCTTCCTGTGATTTTCCCGTTTCTTTCCCATATCCCACCTCCTCGGGTTGCGCCCCTTTCCGTGTCTCTCTTCCCGTCTGTTTAGGTGCTGATTTTCCTAACTTTGGTTTTCCCGTTCTCTTGGGAGTCTTGCCCGCCTGTCCATCCTGCTGATTTTCGGACCCCATTCCTCCACGTTCCTAATTTCCGAATAGCCTGGCCCTCTTTCCGCCACCCCCCCCCCGTTCTTCACTTTCTTTCCAAGACGCCGCTGTAGTATTTCTGTCCCTTTGGCCCTTTCCACCCTCTGCAGGCATATCCCTCCCCGATTTCACCTCAAGTCATCAGTGTCATCTGGGCTCCACTCTGTCATCCTCACCTGCCTTCTCCGTGTTTCGCGGTTTCCCTCCCACCCTTTCCTGTTGTCCCCTTTTCTCTGTGCCTCCCGCCCCTGTCTCCTTCCCCCGCCCCCCAAAGAGCCACGTCTCTGTGCCCTAGGCCTCATTTTCCTGCTTCCCCTATTGTGCTCTCGCTGCTGGTCCTCTGACTCCCTGCAACGTTCCAGTCCATCGGTTTGCTCCTCCTCTGCATGGTTTCTCTTTTGTAGGGGTAGCATACCCTCTGACCACCTCTTCGTCCCGCCCCCAAAGATTTCATTCCACTATTTTCTGTTTGTGTCTCCACTTGTGCTTCAGACTTTTGGATCCTGTCATTTTGCATTCCAGGCTGGTGTGTGCCATCTTCTCTGAGTGGCCCAGTCCTTTTGTGTGATCCTTTGTCAGCCTTCATTTCCCCGTCCTGTGTCCCATCTTTTCCGTGGGTCTCAGCCCCTTTGTTTGCTATAGACTCCTGCGTTACAGAGCCTGTGTGCCAGGCATTCTGGACAGAAAAGGGTGGCAGAAGTGACCTCTAGCTGGACTGCTGTGCAGGGGAGCAGTACTAGACAAAGTTGGACAGGTTGTTTGGGGCCAATCTAGTGGTGGGGGATGTGAATGTGGGAGGCTTGACTGTCTAGTAAAGAGGTTGACCTTGATCCTTTAGATAGTGGAGAGACAGAGACTGGAGAGCCAACATTTATGGAGAGTTTAGCACTTGCCTGCACTTTATATTAATAAGCTTACTAATTTTCAACAGTGGCCTTATGAGATGTATTATTAATCCATTTTATAAATGAGTTCAACAACTTACACAAGATTGCACAGCTAGTAAGTGGAGGTGTAAGGATTCTAACTTTGCTCCACCTTTGAGTCCAACACCTATGAACTTTTGTACCACCTACATTGTTTTAGTTAGTATTTCCAGTGATCTTCATTCCCTAATCCTCCTGTAGGTGCTCACTTCAGGTGGCTAATGCATATCTTCTGTTTCTTGTGTTCTTGCAAGATGTGCAGTGTCTTATGTGCATGTGTTTTTAAAAAGGTTTGTTCATTCATTCATTCAAGTAATCTCTACACCCAGCGTGGGGCTCAAACTCATGACCCTGAGATCAAGAGTTGCATGCTCTTCCTACTGAGCCAGCCAGACACCCCTGCACATGTGGTTTTATTTTATTATTTTTTAAAAAGATTTTACTTATCTATTTATTTAGAGAGAGAACATGGGGGAAGGGCAGAGGGAGAGGAAGAAAGAGTCTTAAGCAGATTCCACGCTAAACACAGAGCTCGAGGTGGGGCTCGCACTCATGACCCTGAGATCAGAACTTGAGCTGAAATCAAGACCCAGATGCCTAACTGACTGAGCCACCCAGGCACCACTGTGTATGTGGTTTTAAGTTATGCAAGTGATATTGTGTTATTTATTTAAAATAATCAGCATTGTGCTTTTTTGATCCGTACATGTACATGTTATGTGTATGTCTAATCAGTTTCTTTTAATTGCTGCATGATATTCCATGGTGCATCCTCTGCATGTTGTGTGTTCACTTAGTCTCAGGGAGGAATGCCCACATTGCCTTCGACTCACCATCTCCATAGTAATGCTGCATCCTGGTATATGTTGCTTTGTAGATGAAGGTGGAAATCTCTATTATGTGTACCTAGGATAAACTAGAAATGGGAATTTGTAAACCTAATTTGACTTAGTATCGCCAGATTCCTCCCTGCAATGCTGCTTTGGGCCTGAAACATTCATTGATCAGAACTCTCAGCTGTTCCTCAGGGTCCAGAAGAGGGTCCTGTCCCCCTCCCAACAACCCCATGAGCAACAGTACACAAGGGTTCCTGTATCTGTATCCCACATTGCTGCCAACCGTATCTTTTTCCAGCTTTCTGGTCCTTTGCTAGTCTGAGAGATGGACAGTTTGATAGACTGCCTTTCTCTGATTATTGCTAAGCTTGAGTGTCTCTTCACATATTTTCTAGCTTTTCTGGTTTGCTCTTCTGAGAACTGCCTCTTCATATGGTTGGCCCATTTTCCTACTGGGGTTACTCTTTTTCTTGTCTCTGCATTGCATATACTCTTCTTATGCAAATCTTGGCATTTCACATTATTTTAGAAATGTATCTACTTCATCTGGGTTTTCTAAAGATTTTTTTTTTTTTTTTACATCATCTCTGTACCCAACATGGGGCTCGAACTCACAATCCCAAGATCAAGAGTAGCATGATGTACCAACTGAGCCAGCCAGGCTCCCCCACTTCATTTGGGTTTTCAAATTTATAAATGTAGAATTCTTAATGATACTTATATATATTGTTTAAAACAGCCACTGTCTGTTACTTCTGATTTTTAATGTGGTATTTTATTTGCATCTTGTTTTTCTCTTGATTAGATTTGCTGGATAATTATCTCATTGATATTGTCAAAGAATGAATGTTAAGTTTTCTGTAATAATTTTTGTTGTTCTAATTCATTGATTTCTGTCATTATCTTAATTTTATCCTTTATTGGGGGGCAGGTGCTTTGTTGCACCTTGTACAAATTCTTGAGTTAACCCAGGACCATGTTTTTTTTTAACGTTCCTATTTCCTGACAAATGTATTGAAAGTATAAATTTACTTGTAAACACTGCTTTAGTTGTGTCCCAAAATTTGATGTGTAGTTAAAAAAAAACTTGGTATTGAGATTGTTATTGACTCACAAGAAGTTGCAAAATTCGTAAAGCCATAAATACTTCCTTCCACTTCCCCTCAGGGATATCTTCTATAACTGTAGTATACAAGCATAAACTTGACATTGGCATAAAACTCTTAACTGGATTATAGACTTTAATTAGTTTTCACCAGATTTTGCATGTACTTGTGTGTGTGAGAGAGAGAGAGAGAGAGTGAGAGAGAGATGTACTATGTTCATTATTATTCACTTCTATATACATTTAAAGATCCTTTTCTGAACCAAGAGTAATTTAGTAATATTT